AATCGAGGATGACTGCGAGGTTTGGGGCAGGAGCAATTGTATAATTGACTACTAGAATATGCCAGGAGAGAAATAATAGCAATTTGGATTCTGATGATGGTTGCCAAGATAAAATGAATTAAGAGATTTGAGACCAGTTAAATATAGAACCAATAGAGCTTGCTGTTGGACTGTATGTAGGTGAGGAAAAAGAGGGCATCAATGAAGATACTTTATATCAGCTACTTCCTCACATGTTTTTCCATTTTCTTCTTCTCCCTAAGACCTCTTTCCCAGTCTACCTTTATCTTCTGCATTTTATAGTGTTTCCTTTTTTGACCACATTTATTCCTGTGGCTACAAATAGAATTTATGTGTTGATAATTTCCAAATCCCTATCACCAGCCCTGCCTTATATGCTGAAATAGAACCTCTCTACCTATCCAACAAGTTGACATCTACATCTGGGTATCAAATATAAATTTTAGTCGAATACTTTTAAAAGCAGAATTCTTGAATTCCCATATCCTCCTATCCTATTCTTCCTCTAGTCTCCACATTCTCAGTAAGCTGCATGAAAACATGGCAAGATATACAAGAAAAAATAAAGGATTCAGGCATGTTTGAAGGTAATCCAGGAAAGATTTTTTTTGTGTATCATAGATAAACCACACATACTGTTTATTGAAAAATAATGAAATTGTTTATATAGAAAAATTCTGGGAGTTTTAATTCAAGGAAGATTTTAAAAAAACTTAATTCTTTGTTTCTATTTGCTCTATCCTCTTACACAATTTAAATACTTTTTCCAATAGGAAATTAATGGACATTAACTTGACATTATCTTTTGCAGAGAAGAAGTTTTCAATTTAGTGAAGCCTAACTTGCCTGTTTTGTCTTTCATGGATCATGCCTTTGGTGTACTAACCAAAAAGTCATGGCCATCACCATGGCCATACCCCATGTCATCTAGGTTTCTCCTATATTATCTTCTAGGAATTTTGTATTTTTGCATATTTAATTTAAGCTTATGATTCATTTTTGGTTAATTATTGTGGAAGTCTGCATCAAGATTCATTTTTTTAGTTCATATAGATACTCAGTTGTTCCAATATCATTGGCTGAAAAGACTCTCTTTGCTCCATTGTATTGCTTGTGCTCCTTTCTCAAAGATCAATTGACTGTATTTATGGGGAATTTTTTCCGGGCTGTCTATTCTGCTCCTTTAATTTACCAATATCATACTGTCTTGTACTTTAGCTTAATAGTAAGTTTTGAGATTGGGTAGAATCAGCCCTCCAATTTTGTTCTTCTCTTCCAATATTGTATTGGTTGCTTGGGGTCTTTTGCCTCTTCATGTAAATATAAGAATCAGTTCATCAATATCTTCAAGATAACTTCCAGAGATTTTGATTGAGATTGATTGAACCTATAGATCAGTTTAGGGAGAACTGACACATTGACAACATTAAGTCTTCTTATCCATGAACAGGAAGTATCTCTTCATTTATTTAATTCTTTTATTTTATTAATGAGAGTTTTATAGTTTTTCTCTTACACATTTCATACAATTTTATTATAGTTATACGTAAGTATTTCATTCTTTTTGGAGCTAATGTAAATTGTGTTTTTCCTCTTCCTATCAAATTCCACTTGTTTATTTCTGGAATACAGGAAAATAATTGGCTTTTGTATGTCAATCATACAAAACTTGAAAAAAATATATTTTATTCCAACAGGATACCTGAAATAGTTTCCTGAGTTTTTATCATGAACTCTGCAATAGAATTAGGGCTGCCTTAGGCTCCATAATATTTAATCTAATGAATGTATTAAATCTACAACTTTGTTCTTTATGACTTGGGTTTGGCTAACATAGAAATTCATGTAAGGGAAATGGCATAATCTTCAGAAGCAGACACTAGAAATTGAAGGAAAGAGCATTTGCTCATTGTTATGGGTTCTTTATTAAATTATTTTCTTCCTGTGAGTCTAAGACTCCTCACCTATGAACTGAAGCTAAAATGCCTACAGGGTTTCTGGCAAGGTAAGCCTAACTCAAGGTGGATCAAAACAGTGTAGTTACAATTACTGATTATCCTATGGGTAAGAGAAAACTGTAAGGAGTTACAGTGAACTTGGTTCTGACATATTGCAGCTTGTCAGATAATCATTCCAAGAATGGTTATCAGACTTTAAACACTGATCCTTACTTTATCTGCATATAAATGTTTTGGTGGAGTTACTAATTTTTCTAATTGAGTACACAGATTACCCTTATCATTAGATATTTGCATTATACTCCTGGACATGCATCATTTCAAAATGCTAAGAATTACCTTCTGGTTGGTAGGAAATAAGTGGAGGGAATATTTTGGTTGTGTTTTACTAGGTTGTAAGTGATAAGATAAAAATTCTGAATGAATTAAGGCAACTGGGTTATGGTTCTCCATCTGTGTCAAAAATAGGCTCAGCTGGGACTATTTATCCAACCTTTAAACTAAGTTAGAAGGGATTGAAGGAGAGGTGACAGGGAGAAAAAAAGAGAAACATGAAGAGTAAGAACCTTGATAGATCAGAAAGTAGAGGGGATCTAAGTCAGTGAAAAGGACTAATACAGAAATACCAAAGATGTTAAAAGCTATAAGAGATGTGCACAGAGACTGTATAAGGATGCACTAGAAAATGAAGGTGGCAGTAGCTGAAGTGCTTGTAAGAGACCTTCTTACAGTCAGCCCCCTACCTCCTTCCCTCAGGAAGGCTTCCTACTTCCCCCTATCCTTTCACCTACCACTCTTTTCCTTAATCTCTGCTGGCCACAGGTAGGGATTGACACTTAACACCATGCTTACTGGCAGGGACACCAGGAAAAGTTGGCAACTATCCCCAGCATCCTTTTGAACTCCATTTGCTTCGGTGGGAGGGTTTGGTACAAGGCCACAGTCTCCAGAGTGAGAACTTTGCATGTCTTTGAACACCCTGGGGAGAGTGGGGGCTATAGATCTCAAAGATCTGAATTAACTCCTTTTTTAATAGAATGGGATGTGACCAGAAACAGATAACCCACGTCCTAATTCTGGACCCGGACTCCCAAATTTAGGATTACTATACATACAGAGGAAACTTATTTTTTAAGTCCTTAAATATTTTATTCCAACAGGATTCCTGGAGTAGGTTCTGGACATTTTATCCTGAACTCCTCAACAGGGTTGGGGCTGGCTCAGGCTCCATAATATATAATCTAATGAATGTATTAAATATGGGCATATCTCCTTAATAAACAACTATAAATTTGACCCTCTATTTAGTGTAAAATTTACTAAATTTCACTGTTGCAAGTAAAGAAGTACATTATAATATCATAATAACTCAATATTTAGCATTATTACACTATTTTAAAGTGAAGAAATGCTACAGTTATGCATCATACTGAATCCTATGATGCCATTCCAGACAGAGGTCTCCTGTCAGTGATGGAAAGCAGAAAGTCCAAAGGGCAGAGACTAGTCATTTTGTTATCACTTGCCTGCTAAATACTTGTATAACCCATGTACAAATTGCCTTACCCTCTCAGGCTCAATTTTGATGCCTGAATTTTAGTCACTTATTCACCAGTTTTTCATACAGTCCAATGAACTCTCAGCTTTTATTCTCCATCTTCTGTTTTCCTGAACCTTCTTTCTCTTTTCTATTCCCCAGGTTACTTACACTCAATCTTCAAGCCTCAACTACACATCACTTTCTCAGGTAAGTAATTTCTCAAATTCTCTGTCCTCAGTTAGAGTCCCCCATTAGCTTTCACTGCCCCTCCATTTTTTTCATACTGATATCTATCAAATTGTAATGTAGATGTGCACTGAATAACTTTGTCTGGCTCACCTACTACACTAAAGTCAAACTACACTTTCTGCTCTCTGGTGCTTCCCTGCACCTTAGTACTATCTACACAGCATCTGGAACACTGGGAGTACTTCCTAATATTCTGAATGGATTTTTATACATGTTCCACAGACCTCAACCTCAATGTGTTCAGAGAAGACTTCAGTATCTCCTTGTGTAAACAATGCTCTTTCTTTGTTATTGTCTCACAGAATGACGCACCATCAACTTGATTTTACAAACCAGAAAGCTGACCATTAAGTATGAAAACACTCCTTGTTCACCAGCCCACAATAGTTACTAAGGTGTGTGTTAATACGAAATATCATTCATATCACTTAGCTTAGTTCCATTCTCACAATCTTTGCCCTAAAAGAGGCCATCATCGGCTCTCAACTGTTTTTGCAAGACTTTCTCAACTCAACTCCTTTCTTACAGACATTATGAGGAACTTAAAGTACCATGAATAATGATGAAAAACTGTAGAATGAAAAGTTACATGCAATAAGGTCACATCTTCATAGCAGGGAAGAAATTAAGAACAAAATCTTAAGAATTAAGGGATTATAATTATTTTTATTCCAAAAATTTTATAATGAACTTGCATTAAGTCATTAATAGGGAAAAAGAACAGAGTGGAGGGAAGGCTCAGCATCATAATTTCAGCATCATAGCTGTTCACCTAACCTCTAGGAGTGAGGAAAGCCAATTTTACTGTTTCGTATATTTTGATATAAAGATCATGAACTGAGTAAACTGAATAATTGGTATGTTCCCAAAATGTTAGGTGGAACAATGTCTAAATGGAAAGAAAATATTGATTAATGCTGCTTAACACAATTTTCATATGGCAACCATGCTGCAAACATATACCAATGAAATGCAAAGACACTTATTGTTATGTCCATAATACCTATGGTTATCCTACAACAAGCTTCCAGAAACCTTTTCTAGAATACTATTAGCAAACAACTCCATTATGACTGTTGCATTAGAAAGCCTCTTAAGTTCTTCAACACTCTAGTCCTCAGAAAGAACAAACAGATAAATAAAATGATTCCAGTTTAATATTGTTGCACACACAGAAACAAACATAATTGTTTTGACCTTAAAAATTCTTACTGAGAAAACCAAGGGTTTTACTATGTTTTCAGGGAAAACCACTTCTTCATCCTACTTCGGATCTGCTGGGTCTTTACACTGTAAATGATTGGATTCATCAGGGGTGGGAAGATGATGTATATATTGCCCATAAGGATGTGGACCAAAGGTGAGAGATGCTTGCCAAAGCGGTGGACCATGGTGAGGCCAATGATGGGAATAAAAAAAACCAGGACAGCACAGAGGTGGGAAACACAGGTCTGCAAAGACTTGAGTCTTTCCTCCCGGGATGCAATCACCAGCACTGTATGCAAGATGAAAACGTAGGAGATGAGAATAAGGACGGCATCCAACAACAAGGTGCATATCACCAGGGCCAGGGCATAGAAGCTGTTGAAGCGAATGTCAGAGCAGGCAAGCCTGAGCAGGTCCTGGTGCAGGCAGAAAGAGTGAGAGAGGACGTGAGGGCGGCAGTAATGGAAGAACTTCAAACGAATGATGACAGGAAGAATGGAGAAAACGCTTCGCATCAAAATGGTCATCATGAGTTGAATGACTCTACTATTTGTCAGGATGGATGCATATCTCAGAGGATTGCAGATTGCTGTAAAGCGATCAAAGGCCATGGCAAGAAGCACTCCAGACTCTGTGCCGGAAAGTCCATGGACAAAATAAGTTTGGGCTATGCAGGCATCCAGACCAATCTCCTGGCTGAGCCCCCACAGGATGCCCAGCACGGTGTGCACTGTGGACAGTCCCATGCACAGGTCAGTGAGGGTCAGCATGGCCAAGAGATAGAACATGGGCTGGTGCAGGCTCGGTTCAGTCCGGATCACATGCAGCACCAGGCAGTTTCCCAGGAAAACCATAGCATAGATGCAGGAGAAGGGAACTGAGAACCAGGCATAGTACTGGTCCAGGCCTGGGAAACCCATGAGAACGAACGCTGAGGAATTGATACTGGAAGCAGAGGAGGCCGCCATGGACATCTGTAAGTACATTTAAAGATAAGATAAATACTGATCCTCAGTCTCGGTTGAACCGTCTGCCGTCCCCGAGAACAGTCACGAATAGCACAACTGCTCTGAGAGGCACAGGCAGAGCTAAGGCAGGATTCCAGGGACGCCCAGCCCTGCAGGAGAAGCCACAGCACAGGTGGATCCCCAGGGACTCTCCTTGGGGTCGGGCCTCACAGGTTAGAGAAGCGAATCAACGTCCTGTCCGTTTTAGGCAAATGAGACCATTAACTTCATTCCCCGTAGTCTCTTTGAGCCATTTGTACTGCCTGCACCAGGTGACAGAGACCAAAGTTATGGGGAGCCCAAGGCTGCTGCTCAGGATGCCCAGCCCTCGGTCTCCGGCTCCGTGCTCAGGGCGCCGTCTCCACTGCTCAAGCTTATGGGGAAGGACTAGGGCAATGGTGGAGCAGCTGGACCAGCCTCCTGGGAGGCTGCCACTCCCCAGGGGGATGAGGCACGTGGAGACTGCCTGGTGCCTCCAGGCTAGCCATTCCTGGGACTGTGAGGAAGGATAAATGGCATCATTTCCCCCAGAGTTCATGAATCTTTTCTAATCTTAGAGGTAGAGACTCACTGCACTGACGAAAATTCAATACTTCTTCAAATAGAGGGCAGGAGGCAAAGACCCAATGGGTAAATAAAGTTATCAGAATTCTGAAGAATTTAAGATTTCAGCCTGAAGTTAATAAATATGTGTACATAAGGCTTCTTTATTGTTTTCCTCTACATTTTCCCTTTATTTTTCACTGAGTTCTTCAATAGTGTTTTCTTAACCCCGCGAAACATATCTCCGGATAGGCATAATATAAAAAAGTTTTGAAAAAATACTATTAAATTGAAACACACCATATTGCTAAAACATTCACATACTAATATTTATGCGTATTTCATTATGCACTTATCCATGAAATACTAAAGTATTTTCTCTTCGTATGCGTATGTGTTCGCAGTGCCACATATTAAAATTATAAATAATCATTTTATTCAAATGTCATATTTTTTCCTTTTAGTCATTTTCAACAAATCTTTTATATGGAAAAATTTTAGTACAGCATTAAGAACACCTTTCCTGAAACATCTGAGGTTTAATTTTCTGTATGATATTCCATTACTCACAAATTCTTCAGAGTATGTTTCCTGTATAACTAAAATACAATAATGAAATTAAGATTGACACTTTACTACCATCATTTGCAGAATCCAGGTAAGTTTTTACTGATTGTAACACTAATATAATGTATAGTAATGAAAGAATTCAGTTGAGAATCATGTGTGCATCAGTGGACCTGTCTTGGCATTCCTGCCAGCGGCTCTTGGACTGGGTATAGATGAAAGGCTCCCTTAGAGTAATTGGCTTGTGGCTTCCTGTCCTTTGCTCACTCTATTCCTTTCCTATTACTTTTAATACTATGACTTCTGTATTTTACGTATCTTATTTGAAGTAATACTTATGGGGCTTTAATGGAAATAACGTCTCCATCCTCTTGAGGGAAAACTCAGAAGACACCAGCTCCCTCTCTCTGGTCAACCAGGCTGCTTTTGCGGATGCCTCCTGTGCCTTCAGGGCTCCTTTCTTCCTGTGCTCAGCAGCCCTGAAGGCATTTGCTCTTTCTTAATTCATCTGGAGGGAACTGGCTGAGAATACCCACATGACTGTATGTGTCTGAGTAAATACCCCAGTATCTGTATCACTCAAAGATGGTGCTTTTGTTTTGAAGTTGGGGAAATGGAATTATACTTGCCATAACCTGTAACTTCTATAACAGGCTGACTGTAGTAAATTTTGTCCTCTTCAAAGAAAGCATTCTAAAGACATTACTTTAATCATGCCATTCTCATCCCTCTGCTTTCTGTTTTGGGTCTAATAATGGCTAACAACTCCAAATCACACAATGTATGACAAGGAAATTCATGTTGAAATTAAATCTATAGTTATAATTAGAAACACTCTGTTTTTTGAATACCATTCCCATGATCCCCAAGGTCTCCCTGCTGCCCAGCTGTCTGGCTGCAGAACACAAGCAAACTTGCCCATTAGACCAGGCGTGAAGTGCTAACAGCAGAAACAAATAATTCTAAAGTCACAATCTATCTTCTATGCTCTATATCTACAACATCTAAACTTATTACATACACACACACACACACACACACACATCATGAAGCTAAATTATATAAACAACATTTATCCCAATGTCAAGGCTATTGTTGGGGTGGCTCATTCACTCACTTACTCATTCATCTAAAAGCCTAGTACACTTTATCAGCAGAGAAGTAATGAAAAGAGTATACAGTATTTCTGTTCTCTTGGAACTTACAACCAAGCATGGAATATAATATAAAATAAATATAAAAATAAATACATATAAGTATTCTAAAAATGGAAACAGTGCACTAACATTGAAAATTTTAAACTAATTATAATTAAATGCCAAAATTAGAGTATTTTATAATCTAATTAAAGGAAGGGCATAAATAAGACTTGAGAAAAGAGGAAAATTATCTGAGGGATTCAAAATATTACAATACAGGATAGATATTTTTCACCACCACCAGTAGAAGTACCTTGAAAATGTTTGACCAATTTCACCCTCTTTTTATGTTTGTACTGGACTTCTTCCATCAAAGTAATCACTCTCCTCTACAATTTCTTCTGAAGTTCAGTGTCTTCTCATTTTCTCATTGTTTCCTCATCTTTATGTTTCCTAGAGATCCTTTCTTATCAGAGAGCCTCTTTATTTCTATGGAAAAAGACTGTATCTTTTTTTTTGAATCCCCAGAACCAAGTAAAGGATCGTCAATATATTATTTCCCTGGAAATGAACCGAAGCATTGAACCACAGAATCTATGAGGTTCCCAATACTGAACCATGGTAACAGGAGTACAACAATGGAATCTGTGTTTATTATTTAAGAGTACTAACTTGCCATGTAATATCACTTTATAAAACCTCTCAAAGTTTGACTTTTTCTCTAGAATAAGGTCTAATCACTTTAGTCCAGCCTACAAACAGTGCTTCTCCCCTTCTCCAGGGTCCCCCACTCTCTCTACTCTATATTCCTGCACTCTCAACATTCACCATTTTAAATGCGAATAAGTTCCTCAAATTCCCAAAGCTTACATTGTACCAAACGCTTCTTATTACTCTTTCCTCTCTCAGAAACTCTCTTCCTCTCTAATTTTTGGCAAAGCTTTCATTTGTCACACATCACTTCTGCATTTGGGTAAACTTGAACTTGAATCTTCTGCAAATCTCCTCCAGGTAGGCATCACACGTTACAGTACTTGGTTTGGGGAGTGTAGTTGTTGGGGTTGAGCAATGGGGGTGTGAGATAGATGCAGATAAGAGAGCATTATACCACTGGAAATCTCCCAAATCTATTGTTCACAGACAGACTAATTCAGGGATCGGAGTAGGGGTCGTAGAAGAGTAACACAGTACAGATGTGGGAGACACAAGTGCTGAAGGCTTTGAGGCACTTAGTCTTGCAGGCAGTGTTCAGCACGGTTGCTCTGAATGTTCATAACCTAATAATTTCCCTTTAAATGAAAATTAGCTAAAGGAGAAGACAGAGTTTAAAGGGATAGAGGGAGATCCTGCATTAAGAGCCTAAATCTGTCCAGTGCCACCAAAATGAACCTCCTTAGAAAATGAGGTTCAAACACAGCCCCAGAAAGAGACAGTCTTGGTACTATCCCTTCATTGTTCATTGAAAATAAAGTCTAGCCACTTCAGTTAATTATTGTGTTAGAGTTACCTCCTCAATTCTTGTCATGTCCTTCTTTGGTAAGTCCCCCTTGTCAGCCAATAGACAGACTAGTATCTCACAATATAGTAACTGTGGGAATCATACAGAGAGCTCTATTATCAAAAACTTCAGAAATTTATTCTGGCATGTCAAGATGTATACTGCCCACAATGTAGTTTTAAGAAATATTTTTAAAGAAATCAACCACACAAGATAAATTACATTTTTTTCTACTTAGTCTTTTATTTTCAAATTTCTGAATGTAGGTATGGATGTGTAATACATAGATCTGAAAGTATGAGTATAAACTCAAACTAAATTATGTTGGAATTAGAACAAGGCTTTAAGCCTCTGACATTCTCCAATATTGTGTTGACAAGGCTCCAGTGACTATAGAAACTTGTCAGGAAGTCAAAAGAGTACAACCACATGAGGCCCTCTTGAGCTTCAGTCTGTAAAATCCTAGCTGGAAAATATCTTAGATGTCATTAAACTCTAATCATCTAATCTGCTTGCTTTTACATGTGAATGATATTCTCTCAAGAGGCTTTCAGTTGTCTCTATAATAATCTGATTCCTTTGCAAGCTAATAATGACTTTTGCAGAATGAGAAACATGTTTTTCCTCATTGAATAAGAACTATTCTGATGGCTGAAGAAACACCATAATATAGATCAGGCAGTGTTTTAGAACACTTCAGATGGAAGCTATACCCTGCCTCCTCTCTGAGATGTTTTCAGTCAGCAGGGTGACTGTCACAACCAATATTTTATCCCTGTGGCTCAGAGCTTTGTGGGGTGGAGCATCTTCATAATGCGCATTCGAATCTCTTTGGTTTTGACACTGTAGACAACTGGGTTGAGCATTGGAGGTACAAGAAAGTGCAGGTAGGAGAGAAGCATGTATACCTGAGCTGGTAGCTTCTTTTCTCCAAAGCGATGGATCATGGATAGGCTGACTAGTGGGGTATAAAATAGTAATACAGCACAGATGTGGGAAATGCAGGTGTTGAAAGCTTTTAGGCGCTGAGCATGGGAAGCAATACTCAATACTGTTTTCAAGATTAGCACGTAAGAGAGGAGAATGAGTATAGCATCCATCCCCAGTGTGGAGATCATGACAAAGAGCCCAAAGCCACTGTTCACAAGAGTGTTGGAACTGGCCAGCCTTAGAACATCAGGATGAACACAATAAGAATGAGACAAAACATTTGTAGGCTG